AAGGAAGGAAGGAAGGAAGGAAGGAAGGAAGGAAGGAAGGAAGGAAGGAAGGAAGGAAAGAAAGAAAGAAAGAAAGAAAGAAAGAAAGAAAGAAAGAAAGAAAGAAAGAAAGAAAGAAAGAAAGAAAAGAAAGAAAGAAGAGGGAGGGAATTAGCAAGATGGCTCAGCAGAGAAGAGCATTTGCTGCTCTTGCACAGGTCCTGGGCTTGGTCTCCAGTACCCACAACTCCTGATCATCCATAACTCCAATTCCAAGGGCTTCAATGCCTTCTTTTGAGCTCTGAGGGCATCAAGGATGCATGTGCTATAATACAGACATACATACAGGCAAAACACTTATACACATAAAATAAAGATAAATAAATCTAAAAATTTTAAAAAGAGAATATAAAGACAATGTTTTCTTTAGAAGGCATCACAGTAAAGACAAATCCCTCAAAATTTTTCTTAAAGAAAAAAAATTGTTGTAATCATATTATGGTTACTTCTCTTTTTCAGATGGACATTTCTTATTATTCAAAAAAGAATATCCTCCACAACTGTCTAGAGCTTGGATATGCTCAAGAGGGTAGAGTTAACCCCAACATTACAAGAGGAGATATGGCGCATTGAAGTCTTCAGTACTCCACTGGGGAACAGAGTGGCCTCTGTGAGGCTTCTCCCGAGTTTATTCGAAGTCCCTGGAGAAGCTTTTCTGACTTACTCTGAAATGGTTTAAGGATATTGTTCTCAAATCATTCAAAAGTCCACTTTTCAGTATCCCCTTGTAGTTGGTGTGAAGCTGCCCAGACTTCTGTAGTGTTGGGAAGGCTGAGGGGAAAAGGGGAGCCTAGGGTACCAGCCTGAGACGCCAGCCTCCAGCCAGAGCATCAAGTGTGTCTAACCTAAAAGCCTAACACACAACCATGATCGCATTTAAAATAGCATGAGGGTTGGTTTTTGGCCAACTTTTTCTTCCCTGTCTTTCTTTTTAAGCATGGTTGGGAAGCTCTGCAGATGGTAACCCTCTTCTGCGATGTCAGAGACACCCCCTCTTAGCTTCTGCTTTGTGTCTCACTAGACCGTCTGCACAGGCACTTGAAGCACAGCTTGTGTCCGAAGTATTCAGTAGCTAATCGTAAAACCCAAAGTTCAACGTGAGGATTTAAAACAAAGTCACTACCATTCACATCAGAAATGATAAATATTTTGGACATTGGCTAACAGGCTCTCAAAGCACTGTGTTAGAAGTCATACTCTCTCTGAATGGCACAGCTCCCTGGGCTATGAGCATTTCTCCATCCGCCATTCACTGAGTGTGCTTTTACCCCTTATGAGCCAAGTCAACACATCTCATCATGAGAGAGGCCCTCAGGTGCTCCTGGGATCAGTTTGGACCTCAAAGCATTTCTGGATGGAGCTCAAGGTTTTCATTCTATGAACTCTGAGGGATCATGAAAGGAAGGATAAAAGGCATTAGGAAGAAAGTCCATGAAGATGACACAAGGGCTGGTTGATTCTTTCTGCTGAGCCTTTAACACCGCCTTAGCAGAGTTTGCAACAGAGGGGAGAGAAAGGAGGCTTTGGAACTTCGGGAGAACAGAATGAAACTGTGAATACAGATGGCCACAGCTTGGGTGAAAAGGACGTAGGATCACAGGAAGGAACAACTGAGGCCATAAAGGAGGCTGTTTTCAGCCACCTCTCTTGCTGGAACAGTGCCCTGTTAATGTCTAAAGCAATGTTAGGAGACTGAAGGCTTTAAACATATTATGGTGTCACTGTTGATAAGGCCTCTGACCCTGACATCCTTCAGTGCCAATCAGCATGCTTTTTCATTAAGACCTTGACAATGAGCCAGACCTCAAAGGCAGGTTTTCAGTTGAGAGTTCAGTTATGATTTGCTCATAAACATGTTTTAATTAAATAGATAACAACACTGTGAAAGCTAATTCAGGTGAACTGCCTGTCAATATTTCAGTCTCCTGGATCTATAGGAGAGTCAACAAACCTTTGTAATCCCTGAACCTGGGTTGTCATTAGAGACATCCATGATATTTATATTACACCTGAAATTCTCTCACTAATACTGTAAGAAAAAAAATTCTTGGAAATGACTTAAGTAGTCGTTTCTAAACCAATCAGGACACAACTTTACACCTGGAAGGTGATTTGAGAAGTAGATCCTGTATCAAAAGTAATCAAATGTCAATCATGTAACTTGAAAAAAGTCAAAGTCTTGACTTTTAAAAAATGCATTATCAGGTAGGTGGTGGTGGTGCACACCTTTAATACCAGCTCTCGGGAGGTAGAGGCAGGTGGATCTATGTGAGTTTGAGGCCAGTCTTGTCTACAGAGGGAGTTCCAGGTAGCTGGAGCTACACAGAGAAACCCTGTCTCAGGAAGGAAAAAAAAAAAAGTCTATTTTCTTCTCATTCACAACCCATTTGTTTTCTGAATTTGGCACCTCACTAAATGTCTGTGCTGCTCCTGTATTCGTGGTTGTGAGCACGTGTTTCTAAAGTAAACACAAGCGCACTCCCACCTGTAGGTCTGTTTTCAGCTCTGTTCCATTTGGCCACCTACAACCCATTCATTCTACAGCTCTCATTCCTGAAAAGCCACCAGCACAGTCTTGAACCATGATGCTCTCCTCCTCAGGCTGTATTTCTGACTACTTGATTTTCTATAGAGAACTTCTTTCACCCAAGGCCGTATACTGGGTAGGAGATTAATCACGCTCAGAATCCCACCTGTGCGCCTCCTCATGGAAGCCGTCAACGAGGTTGAAAAGTGCAGACACTCTACATTCAAGTCTTAGTTGTACATCTCAGCTTCTAGAGTCCCCCAAGGCAGTGAAGCTATTTCTCTCCCATCGATATGAGCAGTAAAACAGCAGCATCGAGTCTGTATAAAACTATCATCACAAAATAATCCACACTCAGCAGAGGCTCATTCATAAATCAGAGTCATTAGCATCTGACTCTAATGATTAAAGTTAAAATCAGGCAGATGGCAATGTGTAGAAAGGTTAACACTTGAATAAATGATTCAGTAGTTCCCGGATATTTTCAGCCAGTGTATAATTTATGCAACTCTCAAAGTCTGAATATTTCTACTCTGGATGCTACGTAGCTAAATACATTTATCTCTGAGCCATGAAACGCATAAAACAAGGCTTATTTTTTTAAAAAATAACTTTTATACCTAAAACTTCATGTTCTCAGACTGATGTAGAATACAAGTCACCCTCAGTGCTGTTCCCTGCTTGTGATAGACGTTGTGTGTGGAACTCAACATGACATTCAACCATTGCTGACCATGGCCCTTCAAAAAAGTTCTGGCAGTACAGGCTTTTCCCCCATTTAACACTTCAGAAGTTAATTTCTCACCATGTTTTGCCAAAGCAGGTGTGATGTTAAAGGTATAAATAGAGGGTGGGTGATTGTAGAATTCAGTTTCTGTCAAAGGATGTCCCTGCTGCGGATAACTCACCAGACTGTAGAGAAGAATGTCCACGCATTTCCTAGAATATGCAGTATAAGTCTCTGGTCTAGGCAATTTCAGATGCTTTGATTCTAAGAAAGACTTTCCTAGACTACTTGAGGACAAAGCAAATGCTAGGACCATATTGAATTTCCATGAGCTGAATTAGCAGAAAATGAAGATAAAATGTTTTTCTATTTCAGAACATGATGGTGTTTTAATTGCTCTAGCATTTGGCATGTCTAACGTATACAGACTTTGACGTTCATGTAATAACAAGAGAGTCGTTTGAGATTTTTCCTTTATTTTTTAGCATCCCCTTTCCAGTATTCCTCCCACCCCCACTCTGGTCCTGGCCTTTTGCTCTCCTCTCACCCCTTCATCCTCTGCGCTCTGCAGAGTTAGGGATGTAGAAATCCCCTCTCTTTATAGATGGGCCAGCTCCGCTCTTACCCAGCTATGATGTTCAGACCACCATCGCTGTGACAACTGATGTCGAAGCCTCCGGGTGAAACAAAGGTTTATACATTACACAAGCAATTTAACTGCTTTCTAAACATATTGCCAAGACAGTGGGAGCTGGCAGCCCACACTAGGCTTTAGGTTTGGGTGAGCTGAGTTAGAAGTAACTGTTGGTTGTGAGCCGTTTTTATTTGTCTCCTATGCCCTACAAGCAATCTCGTAACCCAGTAAAGAATTTCTCACAGCACTGAAACTGCTGTCCCCAGCTTCCCAAGATTGCATGCACAAATCACTTGATTGAGGGGGCATCAGAGTCTTGTGCATAGATAACTGCACAGGACAATTGTCTTGTTCTAACCTTTAAAGAGCACCACATGGAGAAATGTTTTATAATCCTTTTCTGTGCAGTAGGCAGAGGAGAAAAGAAAAGAGCTTGGGCAAAGATCACCCAAGAGAAAAAAAAGGAACTCCTTTCGGGGTTCCAGTCGAAACACAATAAAGAACATAATTAACTTCACAATTCTTTGTGTTTTCCATTTGACTGCAGGGAGGAGATGAAAGGGGCCTGCTAAGCCTTGCATTCCATCCCAATTACAAGAAAAATGGAAAGCTGTATGTGTCTTATACCACCAACCAAGAACGGTGGGCTATGGGGCCTCATGACCACATTCTCAGGGTTGTGGAATACACAGTATCCAGGTATCACTAACTGATGTGCATGGAAGCCTACAAATTCTGCCATCTTGTTTTCTCTTCTTCGCCTCTTCACAAACTGTTAAGAAATTATTGCCATAAATTGGTAGTAATTAAAGCAGAATCTTCCCATGGTTTAAAACGTGTGTGTGTGTGTGTGTGTGTGTGTGAGAGAGAGAGAGAGAGAGAGAGAGAGAGAGAGAGAGAGAGACTGAGAGAGAATTTTAATAAAATAATGTCTTTGGTACTTCTCCTCAATTACTTCAGCTTTAAGGATATTCCTAGAACATTGAGATTAATGTAATCTTTCATGTCATTCTGAATAGCTCCATTTCAACTGTGGTTGTCTGTCTGTACACGTCTTTCTTTCCAGTGGATCCCCATTCTGCCTGTAAAATCCTGGTGTTTCCCCCTTCCATCGTGCAGGAAAAATCCCCATCAGGTTGACATAAGGACGGCCAGGGTGTTTCTGGAAGTCGCTGAGCTCCACAGAAAGCATCTTGGAGGACAACTGTTCTTCGGTCCCGATGGCTTTTTGTACATCATCCTCGGGGACGGCATGATCACGCTGGATGACATGGAAGAGATGGACGGGTTAAGGTAACACACTTGCTTACCAACAAGCCTTCTTGAGTTAACGTGATTTCAGTGCCAGGACACAAGGTCTGAACCAGCACGTGGAAACCACATGATCGAACCTCATGATCGAACATGAGGCCATTTTATGCTGAAGGGATGCTTTGCTTTGTTCTGAAAGAGTTCTTGTTCCTGGCTGTGCTACAGGTGCTGCCACACACAGCACGAGGGAGGGTGCGGCTTCCTCTGGGCCCAGCTGCCCCCCCCCCCATGCACCCAGGCTGCTGGCACACCTCTGTCTGATGACATGATTGCTGTCTAGGGAGGGAGACATAAAGTACATAGACTGGCAAAGATGAAAGAGGACAGAATTTTTAAAAAGCAAGCAGCATGCTATGCCACATCCTTGTCCATCCTCCACCTGTGTCCAAACTCCCCTGGGTCTTACTTCTTGGCACATGGAATTTGGAAATCAAATAATTTTTAGTCAATTGGAAGGATGATTTTTTTCCTCCTTAGAGCAACGTGACCACACGTCCACAATGTGAGGTACTCACGCCCTTTCCCCTTCCTCAGTGATTTCACAGGCTCCGTGCTGAGGCTGGACACGGACACCGACCTGTGCAGTGTGCCTTACTCCATTCCACAGAGCAACCCCCACTTCAACAGCACCAACCAGCCCCCGGAGGTGTTTGCCCATGGGCTTCACGACCCAGGCAGGTGAGGACATCTGCCTGTCTTGTCTTGTCCCTGCTCTGAAAAAAAGACAGAGCTTGAGCTCTAGGAAGAGATGTACGCAGCGGCTAGGGGCAGTGCCCTGTACAGGGCTGTTAGCTGAGCAAGTATCTAGCCTACTTTTTAGCATCCTCCTGTGAGGAAGGTTAAAAAAAATTAAGCAAGGAAAAACACAAGTTCATAGAAAAATGGGGGGAGGGGAGGACTTCTATTGGATGACCTTTGGCTTTCTTTGTTTAAACGCCTCTAAACTTTATTTTCCTGGTTGGCTTTGTCTGTTCTATGCTCCTTCAACAGTATGGCACATACATGTTAATTTCTAAACAACGGATAGGTTTCAGCTCAGAATTTCAGATGCTGGGTGGTCCGAGGCCAGGGTGCCCGCATTTGCTCAGCATCTACTGAGAGCTTTCTTGCTTCCTCATCTCATGGTAGAAGGTGAAAGAAAAAGAGAGGGAGGGAGACAGAAAAGTTGCCCAACTCATCCTCCTATGGGGAACTCACTCCTAGGATTGCCAGCCCCCTCTCACAGCAGTCACGTTAATCCACTGGCATTGGCTAGTAGAGCTCTGATTTCGCAGTTTGCCCCTGGATGCCCCATCTGTACTGTGGACTGCTGGGATCAGGCTCGGCATGTGAGCTTGGCGAGGTACATTCAGGCGATACCACATATGTTGGACAGGGGTAGTAACAAGGATGTCCTAAGGGCTCTGTCGGGATTCCCTAAGAGTCCACAGACAGTCTAACGAAGGGCCTTCATTCCCAACACCTGGGTAAGCCTTACCGCCATCTTTGCACTTAACACAAGATGATGTAGTGTTGCTTTTCAAGGAATTGAGGTGAATGTTAATGTCTTTCACGCCTGAAAAACTTACAAATACTAAAGGAATCTGTGTTGGCTGTTTTCAGCTTATACTATAATGAACCATAAAAGAAAATAAAGCTCTGAAGTCTATAGAATGAGGGATTTCAGGCACACTTTAACAATTCTATGAACGATAACAGAAATTCTCTGATGAAAAGCCCTTCCAGGCTGGTCTACCATTCAGACTAAGGGGTGTGCCGCCACATTCATTCATTTACTAGCTTGGCTATTATTGCTATTTAATGTTTATTGAGTGTTCACTATGTGCAAGGTGAATATTTCTCAAACTTTTTATTTTTATAATCCCTCATGCCCTTCATCTTCCCTCCATCAAAGCCCAAGTCCACAGTTCATTTCCTTTTTGGCATCTCCACAGATCTTAAAATCTGTTCAGCAGGGAATACTTAAGGTGGGCTCAGGATGTGGAGGAAACTGTCACATTCCATCTCTATAGCTCAGAACGCACAGACACCACAGAGCCGCACTTTGAAGTGAAGCGGCCTGAGCCACCACCCAGAGCAGAGCAGAGCGTTCTCACAACCTTCCCGGGGGTCCAAGCCTCAGTGCAAAAACACAGGATGAGGCGCTTTCCAGACCCTGCTCGTGGCAAGACGCCTGCGTGGCAGAGCCTGCCTCCTCTGGCCGCTGCAAGCTAAAGAAAAATTCCGTTTGTGCTCTGCTTCCCTCCCTGGGAACCTCCACAGAGAAAGATTTAATGAAGAGAAAGAAGCTAAAGCCATTAATGGCTCTAAGCAGAGCTGACCATCATTAAGCACCTTGACTCCAGGCACTAAACTAAAAGCCCTCTTGCTAGAACTCTGAGACGCTGCCCAAACAACACGTCTTAATTTTTTTTTTATTTGTGTGTGTGGTGTATGCGTATTCCCGTCCTTACACGAGGGTAGAGTAAGGGGGAATGTCACTCGTCTTCCTCCATCATCCACCTTTTTCTTCTTCATTTTTTTAGGACAGATGTCTCACTGAACCTGAAGACAGGTATTTCTGTGAAACTGGCTGATCAGAAAGCTGTCTTTTCTATTACCCCCCGCATACCCTAGCCCAATATAGGATTATATACTCGTGTCATATCTGATTTTTATGAAGATGATGGAGACTCAAACTCAGGCCCTCTTTCCTGCACAAGTATTCTTCCATCTCCGCAGTCCAGCACCCTTTTTTTAATTTCAAGAGTAATTAATAGATCCACAGTAAAGTGACCACAATGCGCGAAGACTACCGGTACAAGCCCGCTGCCCACACTAACCTACCCCACTGTTAGCCTTCCCAGTAGAATGGTCCTTTCAGCAAACAACAAAGGACACATCATTGGCACATCATCATTGCCAAGAGTCTCTTATAGGCATTAGCATCCATTCATGGTGGTGTATGTGCTTTTAGGCGGATACTGACAGGTGTCCATCATCGTAGCCTCATCTTACTAGTTTCACTATTTGGCTCCCTTTGTACATAAGAATCTGAAGGCCAGAGGATGGAGTATCACAGCCCCCAGCAACTCACCTCAGGGAGAGACAACTTCTTCAACATTAGCTGTTTCTTGTTGAAAACAAGTCAAACTTCTTTTTGTCATAGACTCTTTATCTTAAAAAAAAAAAAAAAAAGGTACCACAAGAAATCCTCTCACCCTGTGGGGACTAAAGTTCCTCATTAGGTCCCAACAGGACTGTGTCTCCAGCCCCTCCTGCCAGACACTGCATTGAAAGGATCACTTTTAGAGAGGACAGTGGGGCCCTGTCACTGGAAAACTATCCCAGGCCCTTCTTTATTATGACTGGCTCTTTGGAACCATCAGTTGTTGTTTTGTTTTACTGTAATAATTGCTAAATGACTCTCCATCTCTGAATCCCCTACCCTCAAAATTTTTTAGCGTTTTAAATTTATTTAATAGCCCAGTGGTTTGGTTTATAAGAAGTTAATGTATTTCATTGGCCCAAAAAGCAGTTCTCAGTGGAATGTGTTCTGCCTCAAGGGGACATTTGACAATGTGTAGAAACATTTTTGGATTTCACAGCTGGGACGAGGGACTAAGAACAGGGCAACACTACCGCCATCTAATGGGTCAAGGCCAAGGAGATTGCTAAGAGTCCCACGATTCACAGAACAGTACACTTCCCCCCCAAACAAAGGCTGCATGGTCCCAAATGTCCAGAACCCTGTTTTTTGTTTGTTTGTTTGTTTGTTTGTTGTTCCTGCTGTTGTTGCATTTTTGAAAAGTTCAAACATTTTACTAGGTTTCATTCTTTCTCTAATCCTAACGTCCTATTGACTTAAACATTGTGGCCTCTTATGTCTAGACTAGGTAACAGGAATTCAGCGATCCTTGACTTTGTGAGGTTCAGTCTGTGGTTGGGACCACAGCAATACGCTGATCTCCAGATTAGCTATGGCAGATGTGAAGATAGGGTAGAGGGAACAGACCTCCACGTGGGCACAAGCCAGCTGTGTGTCAGTCCCTGGACTAGAACATGTGTGGGTTGGGGGAACGGGCTGCAGACCCTTAGAACTAGAGTATAATCATTCAGGGACTGTTGAGATGCTTGAGCAAGGAAAGGTACTTGCCACCAAACCTGGACATCTGAGTTCATTCCCAGGAACAGAAGAGAAAGAAGAAAACTGACTCACCCTGATTGCCCTCTGACCTCCCACAATACACTGTGGCACACACACACACACACATACACAGAGAGAGAGAGAGTAAATAAATATTTGTGATTTTAAGTAAATATTCCATTTAAGAAACACAATACTGGTTCTGAGGCTAATATACTACATACACTGTATGGCACAGATGAGTTGATGGCAGCACTGATTCATATTTCCAAACTCTGCCAATGTGTTATGCATGAGGTAATCCTTACCAATGAGCTAACAAAGGTTTTAAGATAGTGAGAACGTTCATTAGAAGAGAGATAGCCAGAAAAATTAAGAAACACATTCCCTAGGTCATTAGCTTCAGTAGAGTAAACAGACATGTCAGGAGGTTTCCTTCAGTGGTTTCAAGAATTCCCAAACTAAATTGCTCATAGCATCCTTGCCAGTCCGCAAAGCATTCCTTTCTGTGCCAGGAAGAGACCCTGGCAGGAATTAATGAGTATCTGCCGTTTATTACGCAGATGCGCCGTGGATCGACAGCCCGCTGATATAAACATCAATCTAACAATACTTTGCTCAGATTCCAATGGGAAAAACAGATCATCAGCCAGAATTCTACAGATAATAAAAGGGAAAGATTACGGTGAGTCAAGCAGATGCTGCTGCTTTTGCATTATCTGAAGCTTGGTTTTAGTATATTAATTGGAGGGGGAAAAGAGTTTGCATAATGAACATTTGAGAAAGCATAAAAAACACTGGCCTGACAGAGGCCAGTGAGTAAATTGCTCCATTTTTAAAGGTTCAAGGACTCCTCTAAGCCCTGAGGGTCACTCTGCTTAATTACCTTGAATGGTTCTCTGTAGGTTCAAATAGTTTAATGGTCTCAAAAGTCAAAGGCTTGTATTTCGCTCATCTGAGACTCAAGGTGAGGAATTTCTCTTTATTCGCCATGATAAGGAGAACTTGTCTAAACATTTTATATACAGAGAAGGTAAGAAATTACCTAACATTCAACTTGCAAGTCTCAGCAATTAGGAAAATAATGTTTCTAATAAAAATAATTTTAAATTTTTAAATGTTTTTTTTTCAGAGAAAACAAAGTATTTTGCTTGTAAAAACAAGTCATGGGAATAGAATGTTTAAACATTATTTTTAATAACATGATTACTAGAGTATTTGCAGAGAATTTAAAAACAAAAAAGTTGGATAATGAAGGGTAAAACACTCAGTATTTTTCAATGCTGTAGGACGTATTCCTTTCAAAGGCCACAGCAGAGTAAAGCGTTATGGAGCACAGTAGACTGAGATTATTAAATTGATCACTCCTTCTGTTTATTCATCCAACAGACCTATTTATTTTAGCACTAAAAATGAGGGAGCTATTTGATTCTTTTACTTTGCTTTTTCTCTAGGTGTGTGTGTGTGTGTGTGTGTGTGTGTGTGTGTGTGTGTGTGTGTACCCTATAAAAGCCAAACCGAAAAATGACATGGTTTGGAAAAACAAAATCTAAGAAGCCACTAACTGATTTAATGGATTTTGTTTATAGCTGGAGATTAAACTAAATTCTACTAATCAAATTAACTTTCAGATAAAACCAGCTACAGTATTAATAGACTTACATTTATGTATTTTAAAACACATTCGAAGTGCATGCAGCTCCCACTACGAACGCATTCACAGAGCCTCAGTGTGTGACGGGAACATTGGTCATGTTGTACAGAGGGAGACACTGAGGGACATGGAGGCTCATTATCAAACAGAATTGACAGTAAAGATGGATCTGATTTGAAGCAGCCTGAGTTGTTCGATCATATTTTCCATCATGTTGGGTATTTGAAACATGTTTTTCCCAATCTTTGTTTATAATCATGTGAAAGAACAGGGACTTTAAAATTACAGTGTTGAGCCAAAAAATCTGGGCCCAGAGGGGCCTGCAGTGACTGATGAATCAGCCAAGGATAAGGCATGGAGGTGACCTAGACCCCCTGCTCAGATGTAGCCCATGGGCAGCTCAGTCTCCGTGGGGAATCCCTAGTAAGGGGAGCAGGGGCAGTCTCTGGCATGAACTAGGTTGCCTGCTCTTTGATCACCTCCCCCTCATGAGCTGGTCCTACCAGGCCAGGGAAAAAAAAGGAGACAGACAATCCTAATGAGACATGATAGGCTGGGGTCAGATGGAAGGGGGACCTCCCCTATCAATCGACTAAGGGAGGGGGAGAAAGTGGAAAGAGGGAAGGAGAGACCAGGAGAAGATGAGAGGGCTACAGCTGGGATACAAAGTGAATAAATTGTAATAAATAATAATAATAATTAAAAAAATAAAATTACTGTGCTGCCACAACAGCTCTGATGTAAGGTACCACATGTTAATTTTTGCTTATTTGATATTAAATGCGTGAGAAGTAATACTCAGGTGAATTTGCCACACATAATTCAGAGGAACTCCTGGAACAGACATTGCTAACCTTGCAAGTCTATAGGCAAAACCACGAAAGTGCCTTAAGTGAAGACAGTCTTTGAGTAAGTGACCAGCTTTTAGGAATTCAGTAAGTGTGGGTTTAAAGACCCACATTACATGTGTTATGCTTTTATTTTCATTAAAGTGTGAACCTTTAAAACTTTTTAAACATTTTATATGATTTGTTAGGTCTGGTTTGAATCACTAAATGTAAGCAGAACCACTTTTTTTTACAGCCATTTATTGTTCAAAACTCAAGTTTTTAAGTATTTTGGGTCTAGGGTAAATAACAATGATTTAAAAATATTTAGATTTGCATTGTGTTGGAATACTAGAGCGTCCTGACGGATAAGATGGCAAGTTCCTGATGAGCATTTTCATTTCGTTACACCTACACTTGGATGCTATTTCAAAGAATCTCATTATGCTCATCAGTATACCTGAAAAGGATCCATGTCCTACCTTATGAAACACAATATGGAATTAAATTATTGTAACACTCATTACTTGGTCGGAATCACCTTTACTTCTGGAAATGTTTCATTTACTCTAATAATATTTTTTTTTCCAGAAAGTGAGCCATCGCTTTTAGAATTCAAGCCATTCAGTAGTGGTCCTTTGGTTGGTGGATTCATTTACAGAGGTTGCCAGTCTGAAAGATTGTATGGAAGCTATGTGTTTGGAGATCGCAATGGGTATGTTTCCCAATGCCAAATGACATGTCTATTGTTTGGCACACTACCAAAAAGTATCCACGTGGCTGTCCGTCAGGAGTCAGACCTTAAACACACACTTCCTTGTGCTTTCACTGCATCTGGAAGTTTAATTGAAGAGATGTTACCAGAGAGACCCCTTTCAACAGGGAGAATTTGGAAGGCAAAGAACTCTGAGAGATTTTTTCATTTATTTTGACTTTTCCCATTATCCTCAACCTAATTCCCAGACTTGTTTTGCAGAAGTTGTAATGGTTGTTTTTTTTAAAAATTACCCTGTAAGATTAAGAATTTTGGTAGAACCAAACTCTCCAGACTTGGTGAGCAGTGAGCAGTTTGTCAACATAAGTAGATGCTACAAAATCAAAGTGTAGCCTACATTTTCAAGGGCTCAAGGTGGTTGGTTATAAGAAGCCGATGAAGTCCATGCTGAGAGTTTGTTTCCTGAGCTGCTGGTGTGCTCGGCTTCAGCAAGAGGCAGGCACTGTACCTACCCTGTGCTCTACCCACTTTCAGGCTGGCCTTCAGCAGGACAGCCTACACTTGAGACCCACCTAGGAAGAGTTAAGGGTTAGGGTGGGGAGAGGATTTCTCCTCCTGAGACTTGTTTCAGTCCCCCCTCCAAGCCACATCATTCCATCCTTTACCCTCGTCTGCTGCTTTCACGGTGTCCCCATACACCTCAGAGGCGTGTTCTTTGTCCCTTGAGAGGCGGTATCTTTGGTGTAACAAGTCCTCATTGCAATTTCTATTCTAAAACATTTTCAAGTGCCTAATGAGCCAGCATGCTTTCTCATTGTAGGTTTATGGTGTGTTTTGTTACAGGAATTTCTTGACCCTCCAGCAAAGCCCAGTGACCAAGCAATGGCAAGAAAAGCCACTCTGTCTGGGGACCAGTGGTTCCTGCCGAGGCTACTTCTCAGGTCACATCTTGGGATTTGGAGAAGATGAATTAGGTAGCACATCTATTGCCCCATTGTGTTCTAGCTTCACTCCTTGCTTGGAAAACATTGTTCTTCCCTGTAGAATAACGGTCTCTTCTTCCATTTGTTGGAAATGCACCCACAGCAAAGATGACCTTCCACAGAGTCTCAAGATGGTCATATGACACCTGCCTTCCCAGTACCCTTTTCCCTAGGGTCTGTATACCTTGTTCATATTTTGGAGATACAAAAGCAATAAAGCAGGAAAACAAAAAGAGGCAGAAACAAGGAAAAACTAAGTTAACGGGTAGAAAATCTTTTCAAAGCTACTGATATTTTTCACGATGTACTATAATGATCCTTTCATTCTCTATGTAAAGACTATCCCGCTTGCCTGTGTCTCTTTAATTTTCAAGGGGCAGAATATGAAGCTAGCGTACACTCTTCATTGTTTTCTTGTTTATGCCCATTTTGTGCAAGACAATCTAAGGGGTAGAGTTCCTTTCCAATAGAGCAGAAACTCTCTTGTTGACCACCTATATGGCAGTATTTTGGCGTGTTTATTAATGTATGGAAGCTATTTGTATTGAATACCTCATCATCACAATGCCATTGAGAGGTTATGGCACCCATAACATGGGAGCCTCAGTGGGGGGTACTCTTTAAAAGCTACTATTTATATGTATGGTGTTTAAGTGCATGCTTGGTGTCTGAGAAATTGAACCCAGATCCTCTGCAGGAGCAACAAGTGCCTCTAACCTCAGAGCCATCTCTCCAGCCCCACACCTGTTGCTCTTAAAGGAAGTGTTGGAACCTTGTTTTCCTCTGTATCTTTGCCTCCTGGCTGCTGTGAGAGTTTCAGGCCTTCTTTGCCACACTCCTGCCATGATGAATATTCCAAGTAACAGAGCCAAGCTAACATGTATTGCAATCCCTGAAACCATAAGCTAAAATAAAACTTTCTTCCTAAAAAAAAAAAAAAAAAAAAAAAAGAATGGAGTCTAATGAGCAAAAGGAAGTTGGAGTTAGAATATGATTAATCAGAAAATGAAATTGGCTACTCTCCACTGTTTTAAATTACAGAGTTCAATGTAGCGTTTGTGGTATTTCACTTAACTACACCCTAACAAACCATGAGGACTAGGATCCTTAAGCCTCAGAGATGAATTTTAAAGCATAAAAAAAGGAAAGAATATGTTTCTTTCCTAAGTCGGAATATTCTCTTTGTAATGAAATCCCAGGTTGATTTTCTTTGTACACTAAACGGGAAAATCAACAGAAATAGTTCTATGTCACTCATTTAGATTAACAAAGGACTCAGGCACACACATATTTAAGGGACACAATAATTAGGAAAGAGATTTGTCTGCTCTTGCTCCAGAGGAAAAGCATTTTTATATCTGAGTTAATTATTTTTTTTTATTTTCTTCTACCCCTTTCAAGGGAATCAGAAAGATACACTTTTCTTAAGCTCTATAGTATAATTTAAATGTTCTTGTCAGACTTCAATTTTTTCATTGTAATCATTTATTTTTATTATTATTACAATTTATTCCCTTTGTATCCCAGCTGTAGCCTCCTCCCCAGATCCCCTCTCAACCCACCCTCCCTCTTCTCCTCCCATGCCCCTCCCCTAGTCCACGGATAAGGGAGGACCTCCTCCCCTTCCATCTAATCCTTGTCTATCAGGTCTCCTGCATTGTCTTCCTCTGTGGCCTGTCAAGGCTGTTCCCCCTCAGGGGCTGGTGATCAAAGAGCCAGCCACTGAGTTCATGTCAGAGACAGCCCATGTTCCCCTTACTAGGTAACCCACTTGGACACTGAGCTGCCATGGGCTACATCTGTGCAGGGGTTCTAGTTTATCTCATACATGGTCCTTGGTTGGAGTATCAGTCTCAGAAAAGAACCCTGGGCCCAGGTTTTTTGGTTCTGTTGCTCTCCTTGTGGCGCTCCTGTCCCCTCCAGGTCTTTCTATTTCCCCCTTCTTTCATAAGATTCCCTGCACTCTGCCCAAAGTTTGGCTATGAGTCTCAGCATCTGCTTTGATTTACCCTGCTGGGTAGCCTTTCAGAGGCCCTCTGTGGTAGGCTCCTGTCGTGCTCCCTGTGTCTCCTGCCTCTGATGGTCAGACTTTAACTTTGCAAAGAACTAGGGCTAGTTGTGGGATCCATGGCTTAGTGCTTGGCTAGAATACAGGGCTCTGGGTTTGCTTCTAGGCATCACAAGAAAGAGGGATAAGAAGGAAAAAAGATAAAGAATGAAGAAAAATGAATGAAAAGAGTGAGGAAAGGGGAACGGAGCAGAAGGGAGGAAAATGGAAGAAGGCACGAAGGGAGAGGTTTATTCAGGCAGCTTCATGAGAAGACAAGAAGACCCATTTGATCTAGCTGACATCATTTCACTATTAGAAAGAATCCCTGGGTAAGAATAAACACAGAACAGAGGCTGAGACAGTTTTATTTCCTGGGGCTGTAGTCCAGGTGAAAAACAACATACTCCTAAAGAGGAATAGTCAGGGCCTGGGGAAGAGGAGATTGGGATCAAAGTACACTGCAGAAGTAGCCTTACAAGTGCTGTGCCAAAACTTAAGTCCAAGTGGACCCAAGACCTCAACATAAAACCAGACACACTAAATCAGTTAGAAGAAAAAGTGGGGAAGAGCCTAGAACTCATTGACACAGGAGACAACTTCCTGAACAGAACACTAACAGCACAGGCTCTAAGATCAACAATCAATAAATAGGACCACATGAAACTTAAAAGCTTCTGTAAAGCAAAAGAACTGTTGTCAGAACAAAACGACAGCCTACAGACTGGGAAAGGATCTTCACCAACCCTATATCTGACAGAGGACTAATATCCAGAATATATAAAGAACTAAAGAAGTTAAAAAGCAACAAATCAAGCAATCTGATTAAAAAATGGGGTACAGAGCTAAACAGAGTTCTCTGTAGAGGAATACAGAATGGCAGAGAAACACTTAAAAAAAATACTCAATGTCCTTGGCCATCAGAGAGATGCAAATCAAAACGACCCTGAGATTTCACCTGACACCCATCAGAATGGCTAAGATCAAAAATTCAAGTGACAACACATGCTGGAGAGGTTGTGGAGAAAGGGGAACCCTCATCCATTGCTCGTGGGAATGTAAACTTGTACAACCACTTTGGAAATCAATCTGGCGCTTTCTCAGACAATTAGGAATAGTGCTTCCTCAAGATCCAGCTATACCACTCCTAGGCATGTATCCAAAAGATGCTCAAGTGCACAACCAGGACATTTGCTCAACCATGTTTGTAGCAGCTTTATTCGTAATAGCAAGAACCTGGAAACAACCCAGATGTCCTTCAGTTGAGGAATGGATACAGAAATTGTGGTACTTTTACACAATGGAATATTACTCAGAAATTAAAAACAAGGAAATCATGAACTTTGCAGGCAAATGGTGGGATCTAGAAAATCATCCTGAGTGAGATATCCCAGAAGCAGAAAGACACACATGGTATATACTCACTTATAAGTGGGTACTAGACCTATAAGATAGAATAACATACTAAAACCTGTACACCTTGCCTCTTGTTAGTCTCTAGCCCTCTACTACCTCTTCTCTAAACCCCACCTCTCCACCTGTTGTGCAGGGAGTAGAGTGCATGGAAGTTAGTGAACTGGAAGTTAGTTGTCAAACTGACCTCTCTCACTTCATAACCTAGCAGTATTTATCTGTTTGTCCATCTCCCTTGCTTTTATGGATTCATGTGTTTCCCCGTGTGCCAGTTGTTATTTCAGCCCTGAAGAGACCTGCTAAGGTAGGGTTAGATGGAAGGGGAGGAGGACCTCCCCCATCAGTAGACTTAGAGAAGGGCAGGAAGGCGATGAGGAAGGGAGGGTGGGGCTGGGAGGGAAGGAGGGAGGGGGCTACAGCTGGGATACAAAGTAAATAAAGTGTAATTAATATAAAAATAATAAATTAAAAAATAAAACTTAAAAAAAAAGTGCTATGCTAAGCTGCAGCCATCAGGTCTCCTGGGAATGGCCGGAAGTCCATAGCAATGTCATGCTATGAGTTTTTCATGCTTCATTCTTTCTCTTTCAACAGGAGAAGTATACATTTTGTCAAGCAGTAAGAGTATGACTCAGACTCACAATGGAAAACTCTACAAGATCATAGACCCAAAAAGGTAACACTATTTTTTTTCCTCTTGAGTTCATTGCCCACTTACTTTAGTTCACTCAAAGGTCTTGACGGAGAAGCATAGTTTGCAATGGGCTGGGGTGGACATTCGACCCTTCCCACGACAGAGGGCTGCACTTGACCAGAAGGACTTGAGAAGCTCCTTGCTCTCATTCGTGTCCTCTCAGAGCTGGATTAGGCTGTGGGTTCAACGTTCCTAGTTAAAGGTCAGGAGAGGGCCCTCACATGGAGGAGAGTGGCTTCAGCTCTCATGTTAGAAAAGCAATGAAACCTTTAATTTAGAGAAAACGAGAAACGTTCTAACAGATAGCACCCCCACTATGGTTTTTGTTATATAAGCAAGATAAGTTATTTAAGTTGAACATCTGAACCTCATTTCCAAACTACGTGACAGTTGAAAGCGCTCATGAAGACTGTTTGACCAAGCAAATGAAAACTACAGCTCTATTTTGTTGCTTCAGCAAAAGGAAAGCATATATTTTGATGGGTTAGTGAGGAAAACATTCCTGGGAAAGCATGAAGATAAGAGCTCAGAACCCAAAACCCAATAAATGCGGTGTGGCCGTGGGCACATCTCGGAGCAGGGACAGGGGATCCAGGGCAGGAGGACTCTAGATAGACCAGCCAAACAGGTGAGCTCCCAGCTCAGCAAGAGACCCTGTCTCAGAAAATAAAGCAGAAAATGATCAAGGAAGATACTCAGTGTTAATACCTGGCCTCTGCACAGACATATACATACCCGCAAACATACAAGTGAACATGCATGCACAGATACATGCTTGTTGCACACATGCGGACCCATACAGACGTGTGTGTGTTCCTGCTGCTGCTTCTCCCCATCTACCCTCTCAGTGTCAGCACACAGAGTTCTGCTATCATTTGAAATCATTTTCACCAGTCATACGTTTTCAATATGAGAGCTGAGCTGTCAGAAGCTGCTAAAATTGCACGCTGCCACATGGATGTTGGTAATACAGAACCTAATAGTTTTTATAGAGACAGCTTGTAAGTGACGAACTATTACCCTTTACCCACCAGCACCATGCTGAAAACTTCAAACTGTGAAGATTTTCTAAGGAAAATCAATTCTAATGATCAGAAAGGTTAGCCAGAGGCATTGACGTCATTCAATTCTTAAAATACTATTTGTAAGTTTTGTCAATTGTGTGTTTTCCTGAAAAAGCCATGGACTAATAACTGGAAAGACTACCTTTTCTAAACCAAAATAAAGCGTTTCTTTTCCTGAAAACATCATAGGTTAGCATTGGCTACTGCCCAAGGAAGAGAATCCATGAGCTAGCAGTGCTCTCTGCCCCCTGCTCACTGAGGGCAGGCCCTCACTTCTTCACAGTAAGAGGCACACTTGTAACTTGAGCATTGTGGTGAGGTCTCTTTTCTCTTACCTGTGAAATCAGTGTCCTCTCTGAGGAAAGCAGAGGAGTGGAAGACTGTCAGAGACTCAGGAGAATGTGCAAACACAACCCAAACCATTGCAAACTCATGGCAGGGAGCGTTCTGACCTGCAGGGAGGGCTTGGGGTTTCAAAATTAGTTTCAAAATGCTCCCTGTTGCTCCATTATGTTGTCGAAACTGATCAGCTTCTGAAGCTTCCCCATAGTAGGGTAACAAATTCCCCCCCCCCCAAACCTCTCTTGAGCTGGATTGTTTAGTCTGTTGGTGAGTAGAGGTGAATTTTACACCTTCAGTCTATTATTAGAATCTAATTATCAGGGTTGCCATGAGTGACCTTGGCTTTGTGATCTTAGGGCCCCTCTAGTAGGGTGGTCTCAGAGTGACATACCTGAAGGCCTGGCTTCTCATTATGGGCCTGTTTTTAGTGATTCGTGTCATGTGTGGGGCCAGGGTTAAGATCTGTGTTTGCTTTGTAGCGGTGGGGGAAGTGATAGAATTCCAGACCCATCCTCCTACAGAGGCGTATTCTAAACTACACTGAGACTCGAATGTTTTCTCCAACATTTGTTGGGAAGCTCTCACCCTTTTGATGTGAATGCCAGAGATTATTTTTGCAGTGTTTCCCGGGGGGCTGGCGCTCTGCTCAGGCAGGATTACTTGGGGCACACCAGTTAATTGTTGGCATACGCATGCTCAAGAGGTCAGACAGAGAACGATTTCCCTAAATCTGAAGAAAGAACATCATCAAATTTCAAAATTTTTATGTATTGCATATATGGATATTCCTTGTTATTTAAAAAAAATCAAACTCAATTTGAATAATTAAGTTCAGTGTTTTCTGACAGAGAAACTCCTAGACTTATTAGAATATTTCCAAAATAGCTCATATGTCAATTGATTTATGACCCTGGAAGAGAAAAATACTAAATTGCAATTTGTTATATTTCTTTATATAGTATCATAGAAATTATGTATTTATCATAATATTTATGCTACATTTTCATGCACACACATACACACAGAGAGACTAAATAAACTTAGAAATATAACTCTCAGCAAAAACACATGAGGTTCCAATATTGTCTCTCCAATCTATAAGGACAGTTTGGTAGACTCATTTACATTGTTTTAAATTATTTACAGTGAACCCTTAGAAGAAGGCCTTTACAAAGAAGCAAGGATGATTAAATTTTAATTAATCACCGCTGAAGTGAGTGTTTAAAATATCAGGCTTTCTTGTGCGTTTACAAACACATTTGTATGTTGCTCCTCTCATGCTGTTCCCCTTCTTTCTTCTTCCTCCCCTTTCTCACTCACTAGTCATCATCCACAGTAAAAATCTGAAAATGGAACATGGCCAGGTTTCCTAAGTTATTGAGGGAAAGCCTTCCCTGGGGAGACAGTACAGGGGTGAATCTGTCATGTGCCAAAACACTGCACACACTTCAAGGATATCTTCAGAGCTGGGAGAGTTGCCCCTCATGTCAGTCAGCTTTGGGTCCCTAAACTCTCTAGGACTCAGTCCACTGTGCCCTATCCTCTGCCCTTGGAGGCCCTATCAGCTGACCTTCCGGGCGACAGGTGTAGATGTGCCAGGCACATGATCGGGGCAGCGACCCTCCTGTCACTCAGTGCTCTTCTCGCTGAGTCTTCCTTGTATTAAACGGCACACACATTGTCAGTGTGTGTGCTCCTAGTTCTGTCAGAAACTTCTAGATGACCATTGCCTCTTGCCTCTTGGCGACATGGGGCTCTGACGTGAGTTGAATAGTGTAATTAAAGTGTATTCTAATCTGCAGTCTTGTTGGGCCTCATTCTTTGCATTCCATGATTACCTTCAGGTGATTTCTCAACTTTTCAGTTTCTCTCCCTTCCAAAACTACGAAGCAGGAGCCCATGGCCCTTGACAAAGCTCTGAATGCCTACTGTTCAGACACTCGAGTCCTTCCATACATGCTTGCCCCTTACTAACGCTTTTCAGAATGAACTAAAGGTTTAAGGGGTGTGAGATGGCTCAGCATGCAAAGGCACTTGAAGCACAACCCTGACACCTGAGTTCAAGTTCTGCTTTGTAAAGGCAGAAGGAGAGAACCCAGTCTACAAAGTTGGTCTCTGACCTCCAAAGAGGCTGTGGCATGAACCCCCAACCCCCCCGCACACTCAAATGAATGAATGAACGAATGAATGAGTGAATGAAAATTTTTTTCTACACTTTATTCACTTTGTATCCTCCCTGTAGCTCCCAGAGTGAATGAATTTTAAAAGAATCAGGATCAAATGCTCTTTGACAGTGGTGAAAATGGAAAGGTTCTGACATCGTTGTGTTTCTTCAAGCTTTATCACTATGGAGCACAAGCCTCTGCTTTCAGCTGAACTTCAACCAGACTGCCTTAGTTTTGACTGTGAAATGCTCTCTGGGTTAATTCTCCAGGAATGCACAGAGCAGAGCTATTCCTCTCTCTGCTGCTTTCCCTTCCCTAAACCCACTCTTCCTGTATTTCAACCCCTTGCTTAGTCCTTCTCCAACCAAGATGGGGGGGAGGGTCTATAAATTAACAATGCAAATTCTTAGCCTGAGAGGTCAAACTTCAGAAATGCTGTGTCCCCAGGCTCCTCTAGGACCAGGAGCAAAACCTAAGCCTTTTTTCCACCCCCCCTTCTCCCCACTTCCCCCTTCTCCCCACTCCCCCTTCTCCCCATTCCCCTCTTCTCCCCACTCTCCCTTTCTCCCCACTCCTCCTTCTCCCCACTCTCCCCTTCTCCCCA